TTTTCCATATTTTAGGTTTGGTTAACGAATTTTAGCTCCAAAGTCTCTCCATAGATTATAATGAGCGATACCTTAAAGGACGCCAAATTAACGCACCTATACACAAAAAAATAGAGGACACAAGATATAATTTTTTTTCGACTTTTCCTGAGTTTTCAAAGTCAAAATTTCGTAAGAAATACCGCACAAAAATCATAATTTTTGCATTTCAATGCTTTATATTTCCCAGACGGTAAGCTGTAATCACAAAGTGTTTGGGCTTAACTTCTAGCTGTTTTAATTATCTTTTCAAAATAGCAAAGTTCTTTACAACCAGACGTAAGATACTAAAGTTATGTGAAAAAAACTATCGCTACCTCTGAAAAAAGCTAAAAAAAAAAATACCAGACTTCAAAAATTCTTCAAAAAAAAGTTCTGCCATAGAAAAAAAACCATAATTCTTTAAAAAATTTTAAATCCCCATATCTATCAGAAAAAGTCGGTTTGGATCCTTGAGGAAAAAAAAAGTTCGATTTTGTCGAGTAGTGTAATCTGTAAGCCATTCTGAGGCGTACGACTAAAAAGACGATGTTGGATAAAGGTCTTGCTCAAATGGTGGCATCAGATGTGCAACCATTCAGTATTGTGGAGGGTGTGGGATTCCGCAATTTTGTACGCCTACTTGACCCGAAGTATGTCTTGCCCAGTAGAACAACACTGCAGCATGTATATACAAAACATATGTATGACGAAACAGTTGTGAAATTGAAAAGCAAGCTGAATGCAATAGAACACTGCTCAATTAGAACAGATTGCTGAACGTCCCGTGCCAATACGAATTTCATTACAGTAACGTGTCATTTTATTGAAAATTTTAAATTAAAATCTGCTGTACTGGCTACACAGCCTCTTCTGAATAAAACGAATCACTGCAGTAATAATATCGCGTAAGCCGTAAAGGACATTTGCGATGAATTTTTTGTTTTTCATAAAATTGAAACTTTTGTTACTGACAATGCAGCTTCAATGAAAGAGGCATGCGAATTGATGCAAAAAAAAACACCTAGGCTGCTTTGCCGACTCCTTGAACTTGATTGTGCAAAAGTCAGTGGCAATAAAGAATGTTAAGTCAGTTTTAAAATGTGTAAAGAGTATTGTCAAGTACTTCAAAAGCAGCTCGATTGCATATGAAAGTTTAATAAACGCCCAAAATACTGCAAAGCCTTTAAGCCTAATACAGGGAGTTCCTACGCGTTGGAACAGCGCGTTCTAAGCGGGTTAAGCGGGTCCTCCTTATTAGAGAGGCCATTTGCTCAGGCTTGGCCATTTTCTTAACAGAGGACCAGTTTTTATTGAATGATATCTGTGCCATTTTAGAGCCATTCGAGTCAGCAACCTTGAACACGTCGGCTTCAAAACAGTAACTATATCCCTAATAATACCAACAACGCTGGACTTATTAATAAAGTTAGATAACTTTAAGCCAAAAATTAAGACGATGAATTAAGGGATGAAGCCTGTTCGTTTTTAGCAATAAAATTAAAAAGCAGACTGTCTCCATATGAAACCAGAACGGTTACACGGATGGCAACGATACTCGATACACGCTTTAAGAAGGAAGGATTTCATAACCCAGCTAATAAATATTTAAGAGTTGAACGTGCAGCACTGAAGTCAAATATAGTAAATATATAAATATATATATATATATATATAAATATCGCAATAAATATCCAAAAAGTAAAAAAATAACAAGATTCGACATTTTAATTTTTCATTTATTGTTCGGGCCAGCGGCTACTTAAGCGTCTATCACAATATTAAATGTAGCTGTAACTAGTATAAGAGTATCGAAACCTAAGCTTATGTATGTCCCCAGCGTTCGGCAGTGCTGCTGCGCTCTCCCTGTTAAAGGGCGCTCTGCACCTGCTGCGTCGGCTCTTGCATTGATCGGCCGTCGTGGCCCAAGTAGTTCTATGCTAATCTCTCGCCGCATAGGTTGCATACTGAACCCCCGCTTGTGAACATTTATCTGGCTGGGCAAAAGAGCGAGCAATTGGCTTCAGCTAGCCGCCGGTCTAAATAAACATTATAACGTTTAAATCAAAGTCTTTAACTGATTTGGATAAATATAAGTGCCAAAAAAGCTTGGCATCTCAAACATTGGTGACCCCGACGTGATTTAACTACAATTTTTAATCGCGTTTCGCTTAAAAACTTTAAAATTTGAATAAGATATTCGTTGCTGTGCCGTTTAACGACCAACAAATACATTTTGTGCAAATAAGAACAGTTAAAGTGCAAGTTCAGTGCGACTGCAGCCGTCTAATATTCCGTTGCTTAATCGCCGATTCTCTCTTGCTCTGCACCGCTGCAGCCGCGGCCCTTGACTTTCCGTGTCTTCTATTCTCGCTCCCGTTCTTTCGCCGTCGCTTAAGCGGTCTTGCATTTTCCGTTGTTTCGTTGTATTACACCGGTTGGCATGGACAAAGAGCCGAATACAGGTGCGGGCGGAAATATTGCGATGGAGGAAAAAAGGCTGAGGCTTTACAAGCGTAAAGTTCAGTCTCTGCATGATCGGCTGCAGCGTCTTGGCCAGTCATTCTCGGGGAATAAAATCGACAATTTAAGTGCGGCTGATATAGATGTGCGCCTCGATATGTTGGCTGAAATGCGTGAGGAGTTCAACAAGTCCCATAATGAGTTGGAATCACTGGATGAAGACGAGATTGGAAGTGAGCTGCGTGAAACGTTCGATACGCTCTTCATTTCTTTGAAAGCCGAGCTGCTGGCGGCTCTCGAACTAGGACATTTGCGCGTAGCTGCTCATTCCACTAGCATGCCAAATAGCTCTGGAGGTCATACCATCATCATGGCTCACAAGCAGCGGCTTCCTGAGCTGAAGCTGCCTAGCTTCTCCGGCGGCCATGTTTAATTCGGTCATCGAAGGGGATGCAGATCTCAGTGAAATCGAGAAGTTCCAACATCTTCGCTCATGTCTCTCGTTGGAGCTCTCCAGTGCCAATTATCGTGTGGCTCTGGACATACTTAGCAGACGTTTTAATAATAAACGGCTTGTTTTCATCAAGGAGATTCTTGGGCTCAAGAAGGTAGATTCGCATTCTGCTAAAAGGCTTCGGGAGTTTTCGGACGCAGTCAACTTGCATACGCGCGCCCTGCAGACATTAGGAAGTGCTGAGGAGATATCTGGATGCATGATAATCCACATGCTGCTGCAAAAGCTAGATGAGAAGACCCAAACCAAATGGGAAGAGACTGCGTCATCGGACAGGATACCCACAGCTGGGGAATTCTACGATTTCCTGGAGAAGCGATGCCAGAAGATGGAGAACGTGCAATACGCTATAGCAACACACGCTGGTAGCGCTCAGGTGGGAAAAAGCCAGTCTACACACCTTAAGAAAACCTTTGTTGCCTCTAACTCTTCCGCCGACCCGTCTGGATGCCCTTTCTGCCATTCAGCGGGCCACGGAATAAACTCGTGCAGCATCTTCACAAATTTATCTCCTTTTCTGCGTCACAAAGAAGTGAAGAAGCTGTCACTGTGTTTTAACTGCTTAAAATCGGGTCATCGGACTCGTGCATGCACAGGTGGCCAGTGTAGAGTTTGCGGAAGGAGGCATCATACCTTGTTGCACTTCGACTCATCTATAGCGCAAAGCTCCGCAGCTGGTTCTCTTCCAGAACGAGCAGTACAACCAAGAGCTATTACGCCGGTTCAGGATTCTGCCAGCAGTGTGCCGTCTCATGCGTCTACCTCTCTTGCTGCCCAAGGTCTCCACTCCGATATTGTGCTGCTGGCCACAGCTGTTGTTTTGGTGAAGAATCGATCTGGCGTTTTGGTTCCTTGTCGCGCTATTCTTGATTCAGGATCTCAGCTTCATCTCGTTACCTCCAGGTTCGCCCAGCAGCTTCAGCTTAGGAGAACTCAATCGTCTGCCCTTGTTTCTGGTCTGGGCGATACTAGCGTGTCCACTGAGGGATCCACCGTCAGCATTTGCATGCAGTCTCGCACTTCGGACTATTCGACGACACTCACTGCTCTCATCGCACCCACAATCACAGATAGCCAACCAAGTCTGGCAGTTAATGTAGCCGATTGGAACATTCCCTCCAACATTCAGCTTGCCGATCCCGCATTCTTTAATCCTCAGCGAGTAGATCTCCTCATTGGCGCGAGCATATTCTATGACCTTCTCTGCGTAGCTCATAGCTCATAGATGGATTGCCTCTTCTGCAGAAGACCCGGCTTGGGTGGATCGTATCTGGTGGTGGACAGAGGGTAACAAGCTCGTCGCTTTTGGCAACCCAAAATTCTCCGGATTCGGAGGATAGAATGAATGCAAGGTTGGATCGAACTCTTCGTATGTTTTGGGAAGTTGAGAATTGTGCGGAGTTTAGCTTAAGTACAAAGGAAGAAGCGGATTGTGAGGCGCATTTCGTAAGCCACTTTTCACGGTTGCCATCAGGGGAGTACTCTGTTCGACTGCCTTTAAAGCATGATGCTGATCACTTGGGAGAGTCCTATACTCAGGCGTATCGACGATTTCTCAGCTTGGAGCGAAAACTGGATCGTAATCCCGCGCTCAAGGAGCGTTACTCAGCTTTCATGAAGGAGTATACTGATTTAAAGCATATGTCCAAAGTCCATCCTGACTCACGTAGCCTCTGCAAGTATTTTCTGCCTCATCACTGCGTTTTAAAGGAGGATAGTACCACGACGAAGCTCCGTGTCGTTTTCGATGGCTCTGCAGCTACATCAACTGGATGCTCCCTAAATGATGTGATGATGACAGGTCCTGTTATTCAGCCAGCATTGTTTAACATACTGATCCGGTTCCGCACATATCCCGTCGCTCTCACTGGTGACATTTGTAAAATGTACCGCTGCGTAAAGGTATCTCCGCCCGACAATTTTCTCCAGTGTATCCTATGGCGAGATTCCATCCAGTCCGAGGTTCAGGTCTACACATTAGACACCGTCACATACGGTCCGCGCAATGCACCAGCTGGCCATCGACGAGGGTAATCCCTACCCTCTTGGCTCAGCTGCTCTGCAACAGGAGTTCTATGTTGATGATCTCATCTCTGGCGGCAACTCGGTCGCAGAGGTCATGGAAAAGATGCGCCAAACTTCAAGTCTACTGTCTTGCGGTAACTTTAAGCTTAGAAAATGGTGCTCGAGTAACCAGGAGGTGCTTGATGGAATTCCGGAGGACGACGTGGAGAAATTTCTACGGTTTCATGATGGAAGCGACATTACCAAAACTCTTGGTTTAGCTTGGGACCCTGCGTCGGATCAGCTGCTGGTTGCCTTGTCCGCGCTGGACTCGAATTCAAGGCCCTCCAAGCGGTCGGTTTTGTCAACTATTGCGCGTTTCTACGACCCTCTTGGATTGATTAATCCTGTTATTGTCAGGTGCAAGATCTTTCTTCAGCAGCTTTGGAGAGAACATTTGGACTGGGATGAAAGCCTACCGACAGCGCTGCACTCAACTTGGATTGACCTGAGAAACAGTTTGGCAAGCATCTCTCGCATTTCCTTTCCTCGCGTTGTCCATAATTCCGGCACAATTGTAGAGGTTCATCGATTTTGTGATGCCAGCATGGAAGCATATGGTGCTTGCATATATGTCGTGTCCAGGCAAGGGGAGTCGTCGAGCAATGTTTTGTGCTCAAAGTCTCGAGTGGCGCCACTAAAATCATTGTCGATTCCAAAGGTGGAATTGAGTGGAGCCCATTTGCTTGCGAAGGTTATGCGCAACTTAAAGGAGACGGGAATTTTCCCAGGTCAGTTTTACTGCTGGTCGGATTCGTCTACGGCGTTATCTTGGATTCGGGATGAGCCAGCCAAATTTCAGGTTTTCGTGGCAAATCGAGTGGCAACAATTCAGGAGTTGACGCAAGGCATGGAATGGCGCTATGTTCCCACATTGTTGAATCCCGCTGATATCCTCTCCAGAGGCTCGCTTCCCAGCTACCTCATCCAGTCAGAGCTGTGGTTTCACGGCCCCTCGTTTTTGTTAGGTTCTAAGGATGAGTGGCCTGTATCTGCCGTTTCTGAAACTCCGACCATTGAGCTTCGCAAGCGTGTATTGCTGATCGCGTCTCCACATGCCGATCTCACGTCCGGATGCAAATTTGCTAATTCTTTCTTTGGCATGCAGCGCACATTCGCCTACATGTATAAATTCGTTCATCGTCTTAGACATCCTGGACTCACGGTTTCTGACATACAGCAAGGAACGCATCTTCTTGTTCGACACGTTCAGCTGGCAAGTTTGTGGTCGGACATAAAGGAGATTAGACGCAATGGGCAAGTCAGGAAGTCTAGCTCCATCAGTTCGCTATCTCCGTTCATCGATCCGTCGGGTTTACTTCGAGTTGGAGGTCGTCTCGGCAACTCATCGCTCCCGTTTAATGCTCAGCACCCGCTTATTTTGCCCAAGGGACATCCCGTAACATCTGCAATGATAAGCTATTATCATCAACGGAACCTCCATGCCGGACCTCGCGCCTTGCTTGCTAAAATTCGATTAGAATATTGGCCTATTGGAGGAATCAAAGCCGTCTCGAAAGCGGTTAGCAAGTGTGTAAGATGCTTCAGAACGAGGCCGCGCATGGTTGAGCACATTATGGGGGACTTGCCTAAGGAGCGTCTGGAAGGATCGCGGGCCTTCGAAGTAACTGGAGTGGACTATTGTGGACCCTTTTTCTACCGATCAGAAATCCGCACGAGGCCTCCGATCAAGTGCTACATAAGCGTGTTTATTTGCTTCACATCTAAGGCCATACACATGGAGCTTGTTAAAGATCTGACCACCGCATCGTTCCTAGGCGCACTGAAACGTTTTACGTCCACTCGAGGAAGGCCAAGCCATATTTGGTCGGACAATGCTACAAATTTCGTTGGCGCTAAGAATGAGCTTCTGGAGCTGAAGAAGCTTTACCTGAGCGACTCGCACATGAAAGAAGTCCATGAATCCTGCTTGGCTGACACCATCGACTGGCATTTCATCCCCCCGCGCTCTCCGCACTTTGGCGGATTGTGGGAAGCGGCCGTGAAGTCCGCAAAGTATCACCTGTACCGCTCAGTTGGGCCATCCATCCTTAGCTTCGACGAGCTCCGCACCTTGATCTGCCAGATCGCGGCAATTGTTAATTCTCGCCCTTTGCTCTCGCTTTCAGAAAATCCTGATGACTTGGATGTGTTGAAGCCTGCTCATCTGCTTTTGGGAGGCCCGCATCAGTCAATTCTCGAGCCTGACCTAACGAAGCTCAACTACAACCGTCTGGATGGTTGGCATCGGGTCACTCAACTGCAGCAAACATTCTGGAGGCGTTGGCGCGAAGAGTATCTGACTCTTTTGCAAGAGCGCTCGAAGTGGCGTACGCCTGCGAAAAACCTCTGCGTCAACGATGTCGTCTTGGTGAAGGATGAGAATCTTCCTCCAATGCGTTGGCCACTGGCTAGAGTGGTCGACGTCGTCAAAGGCAAGGATGGAGTAGGCCGCGTGGCTGATTTGAAGACGGCTTCAGGAACCATCAGGAGGGCCGTTACTCGGCTGTGTTTGCTGCCCCTTGAGAAGTCAGTTGAAAGGCGAGCTTCCAACGGGGGAGTATGTTCGGGCCAGCGGCTACTTAAGCGTCTATCACAATATTAAATGTAGCTGTAACTAGTATAAGAGTATCGAAACCTAAGCTTATGTATGTCCCCAGCGTTCGGCAGTGCTGCTGCGCTCTCCCTGTTAAAGGGCGCTCTGCACCTGCTGCGTCGGCTCTTGCATTGATCGGCCGTCGTGGCCCAAGTAGTTCTATGCTAATCTCTCGCCGCATAGGTTGCATACTGAACCCCCGCTTGTGAACATTTATCTGGCTGGGCAAAAGAGCGAGCAATTGGCTTCAGCTAGCCGCCGGTCTAAATAAACATTATAACGTTTAAATCAAAGTCTTTAACTGATTTGGATAAATATAGGTGCCAAAAAAGCTTGGCATCTCAAACAGCCTGCCAGATTGGCAGAATCGACCACTGTGCGTACGCAATCCATCTGGAAACTGGTCTCTCTGCAGTATTTATATATAAGCTGCAAAAACAGACGAGGCGGACAGACAAGAGTGAGCACAACGAGTTATTGGAAGCGTATCAAGGCCTTTATACAGTAGCCTTGCCCATAATCTTGAAGACTAAAACTATTTTACAGATAGCATAGATGGAGGTTTAAATCTATGCTATCTGTGAAATATCACTCATCTTCAGAGAAATCTCACTGCAGCGGAATGCAAGCACCGGAGGATACAATGCAATTTCTGACGACATGTCCAATCGTAAAGGAGATTAGATATATGTAGATATATGTATGCTGGGCACTCACCAATACTCCCAAACAAAAACACAAATACGAATAAGGGAACAGTAAAATCTTGAAGAAAAGACAACAACAAAATCATAACAAAAGTAGGGTAACACCAATCAGAGAAGAGATAAAACCGGTTTTTGCTGGACGGATCGCATACACACAAAGTATGCAAAGTATTTCGGTATGCTGGTACACATCACAAACTATGTATGCATACAAGAATTTGTTTCCTATGCTGAGGGCAATTACAAAAACAAATGGGCTCCGTGGGCAATGGGCCTGGGCATCGCTGTATTAGATGTATATAAAATATTTCGGAAGTCCATCTCTAACAGTCCAGGGCTTGACTTAACGCTTAACCATTTTAATGAGCAAGAGTTTTTTGGGAATTTTGGGAAAAAATACCGCAAAAAAATAATGAAATTTGAATTTGAAAGCTTAATCTTCCAGGCGTTAAGCTGCAGATACAAAGTGTCTGGGTCGGATTTTAAGCCGCATTTGTCAGCTTTTCAGAACTGCAAAGTTCTATGCAACCAGATACAAGATACTTAAGTTATGTGAAAAATAGAAGCACTACCTCTGAAAAAAAACATCAGATTTTTAAAATTCTTAAAAACCATAAAAAAAAAATATTTAAAAAAATTTTTAAATCTCGAAATCCATCAGAAAAAGTCATTTTGGTCCACAGTCTGAAGAAAAAGTTAAATTTAGTTGATTTGTGTAATCTACCACCTGTTGGGTTGTTGCTTCCAACTGTTGTTTTAGGGCACCTAAAAGCTCGTTGACCTGGGCTATTTGAACTGATATCAATTGCTTGACGAGATCGAACGGAAGGAACGATCTGATATCGTTCCTTGATTCCGCGTTAGGCCTTGTTAACTTTTCGAATTCTGATGTTTATTTTACTCTATTAAAAGAGTTTCATTTAATAAAACAAATCTATCTATCACCGATTATAATTTGTATAGTATTAATTATATTAATTTAACTGGTCTCCCTACTCTCCTTATGGGGTCGTCCTTATAATAATTATAGAGTCGTCTGCTGTCGATTTTAGGGTCTTCATTCTGTTGTTGATGTTGTTATTTATATTTTTTTTTACGCAGAATTGTGTTGGAAGCGTGTGTCCTCCCTGCAGCTCCCTCTCTATGCAGCGATTTAACGGTTATGATTTATTTATTTCATTGATATTCTTTCTTCGTTGGTTTTGGATTTTACGCGTCGTTTATAATCCCGGTTAAATTTCACCTCACTTTTATTTGTCTTTTGGTTCACACCGCGTAGAGAAATCGCGCTTGTCATAAGCGCATACCGCCGAAGATGATGACGCGACAACGCTGATAGCACACAACCTGAAGCACTAACCATTCCAATTAGCATAACAAGGCCGTGTCCTTCATGGAACGACACAGAAGCTGCCTGGCCTTTCGGGAAGCAATATCCTTAGCTACTAAGCTAAAAATACTTAATAATAATAAAGAATATTTCGCAGTTGCCTGGCCACACAGGCAACTCCGACTAAACAAGAAAACCACTTATATTACACCATGGATCAAACCCAAACGTCCAGCTAAAAACGTTAGGGACAAAGAAGAGGCACAACAGACAGCTTTTGGCAATAAAAGCAGCGTCGCCAGAACAATCAAGGCAGTCCATCTGGACTCGAATATGGTCAATATCAGCCTTCCTGATCACCTTGAAGGCCTTGAAGGGAAACCTCGTGGACGAGCCTGTAATCTCTTTACTCCCGAAATCTGTATATTAAGACTAATAAAAATAAAAACCTACTTTTTCCATCTTACTGTGTCACCTTATTATTGAACCAGGGGGCCTTTTCTTTCAGCCACCACATTCAAAGATTAAACAAATTTCTGTGAACCCGGCCACAAATCGAAGTTAATGCCATTTTTAAAGGTATTAAGGTAATGCTATGTTCATTGGTGATGTTATGTCGTTTTGGAACAGACTATTTAAAATCGCATAATAATATCGACGGCAATTTAGTTTACCTTTCAATCTAGAACTGTATAAAAAAATAATTATATATATTTCCATTTACGGAGTGGGATAGGGGATAGATTTTGGATTATTACATTTTGATTTAATTGAATTTTTAAAGATAATCTATAAAATTAATTGTGTTCTAAAATAAAAGTTCATTTCATAAAAGACATTTAATATTATTAATCCTTGGCTCTTCTGGGTCTTCCAACTTTTCCTTTTCTTTGTGCAAGCGTACCATTCGAATTTGATGGGCTTTTGAGCAATTTATGCCAATCCTGTTCACACACCAAGCTTGCTCCTAGCATAGTGTACCTGAAAAAAGTATTACAAAAGTCGTGTGTTTAATTATATGTAGGACCTTTGATTGTCAAATATTAGGGATAATGTTGCGCGTTCACCAGGACAACTTGATCAGCGATCAGTGATTGATCTTATCCATCATGTTTTGAGGTCTGGTCCATACGTCCATACGTCGCCAATACAATTGGCTCATGACCTATTGATATTTTCTTCGAAAATTCGCGATTCGCAACAAAATACAGTCACGTAAAATTCTAATATTTCTTCGTAAAACTGAATTATTCCGCCAATTGCATGATTTTTTATTAATTTTTGCTTTGTTTATTTCTTTTCCTTTGCGATTTAGTGCATATTCTAATTGTTATGTCAGCTATCGATATAAGCCAAAACCAATCCACCATTCACGAGACCAATGGACCGTACTATTTTCACGATCCATTTCTCAAAATCTGATTCATGAATTCTTGCATCAAAATCACTAAATCATGTGCGTTCACCAACACTATTGGAATAAGTCCATCTCTGATCGCTGATCAAGTTTTCCTGGTGAACGCGCCCAATATTAGGATATTTCTGATCTTGGTGTTAAACTAGACCCCAAGTTAAAGTTTCCTGAACACATTTCTACCATGGTCAATAAGGCCATTGGTTAATAAAGAGGGGGTCAAAGGAATTTGACGACCCCTATATAACGAAGAATCTCTTTATCTCGCTTCTTCATCCGATTATGTATGGTACCCTCAATACAAAGTATACCAGGACCGTATAGAATAAGTCCAGAAAAAATTTTTGACTTTTTGACTTTCTGCGTGGCCTAAACTGGGATGCAGGTGTGTGACTGCCATCTTACCCGCGTAAATTGCTTTTAATAAACCTTCCAACCTTATTTCGTTTGAGAAAAATACTTGGACCACCACCTATTTATGTTCGACAGGCAAATTTAACTGAACTGTTCAAAAAAATAACTGATACAATGGCGCTGTTCAGTCGCATATTTATGCATTAATTAATATTACATAATATACACTTATCGAATAAGTCAGGTCGACCCATGTAACGGGAGACATAATAACAAACGACAAAGCATTGTAGCTGAGTCAACAATAACCGCTTCTGCAGCAATTTCTGCCAACGATGCCAACGATCGCTCTTCAGAGGGCAAAAACACTGGTGCAATTGCTGACTATCACAATTGCCCAATAACACAAGATCATATTAAACCCAAATTAATTTAATATTAATTCCAATTCCCTTTTACCATATTCTTACTAGACTCAGCACTTTCTGTACCTTTTGTTACCTATAAATAGAATTTAAGTTTGTTGAATAAAATCAGTATCAGAAACAGTACCATCACTGCCTGTTCACTCATTCTCTACAACTGCAATCAACAGAGGCTGTCGCCGTGTCTTCAGAGCCTCATTTGCTAGACGTAGGAAACCCTCTCCGCAGTCCAACTGGTTCAAGTTCTAGTTGCGACGACAAATTTGTAAACGGTTTATGTATTGTATGCATACCAAAACACACACACAAATACACATTAACATTTGGTGACCCCGACGCAGGAAAATCTGCAGACACAAACTGGCAACAAGCCACATACTTACGGTAGAATCTCCTACCAATAAGTAGAACAAATTGGCAGATCTGTCACTTTCAGATCATCAGCCAACAAGATCAACGATAATAATATCAAGATCACAAGTGCGTTTCACCAGCACAAAATCTCCATCCAGTACGTCGTCTGTACTTATACTTTGAACCACATCGGTTGCGAATAGAAGCGTATCCAGCTGCAAAGCGAATAAAATACTCCCAACGGGTCAAAGTATAATTAAGAGGCGAAATGGATTCCCACAAGGAGGAACACGCTGCCGCCACAGAGGCATTAAATAAGCAGCAGCAAGAAATTGGAGATGAAATTTCGAAGATAATTAGGAACTTCAAAAAAGACTCTCCAGAAAGGAAACAGAATATAACGTACTTCCAAACAAAAAAGGCGGCTCTCGAGGATGCATGGAATAGATTTAACGAAATCGACACCAAGATATCAAAGGCATATAAGACCGACCACTACCTTAAATTTCGTGAGGACTTGCGTAAAACACTAAAAACGTACGTTGCGATGTTTACTGAAAGCATGGACAAGCTAAATCAGGCATCAAGTGCTCATGTGGGTCAAAATGTCGAACCACAATCGAATGATCGGAGCCAGCAACCAACGGAGGCTTACAGAAAATTGCCTTCACTATGTCGCCGACAAAAGGCCATAGTAGAGTCCATAAAACGCATTCTGAGACAATTCTCAGAGGCGGGAGGACGTACATCAAGTGATTTGATAAAATCACTATGGACTCAAGCACAAGAAGTCCATTTTACTATCCACGAGGAATACGATAACCCAGAAGAAGGAGGATACAACATGGAAGCCTACCTGACCCTGGAAAAAGAGGTTCAAAGTGCATTGGCAAAACCAGAGACATCAAACAATAATTACGTGCAGCTTCCACGCATCAACATTCCCAAGTTTGATGGGGACATACTAAAATGGTCCCAGTTCTATGACCTATGACCTATCTATGCCCACAGTTCGGAAGATGTGGTATCTGAAAACAACCGTAACTGGAGAGGCAGAAAGATTGATCCGACATATCGATCTAAAGGAAGAAAATTATTTGAGCGCCTGGGAAATTCTGATTGATACATACAACAATCCCAGAGACGTCGCTAGCACGGTATTGAACCGCTTCCTAAATTATAACACAGTTAATGACGACTCCAAGTCATTAAAAGAGTTTTACGTTACAACTATCGAATCCCTGGCATCACTAAAGGGATTGGGCATCAATATATCCACATGGGATCCAATACTGATTGCCGTCATCAAAAATAAGCTGGATGTCACTAACAGAGCCTTGTACGAGCAATCATTGGGAACCTCAAAGGATATACAGGCCTTAGACACAATGCTTCAGTTCCTAGAACAAAGAGTTCGAGTTCTAGGAACAGGCAAAAAGACACAAATGTCAAGGAAAGAGCCAAAAGGCACAACATGTGCAACAGTAAACACAAATCGAAGACGCCTCTCTGCTCATTCTGCAAGAAGGCAAGCCATTGGCTCTACGGATGCGATGAGTTTCGCTCCAAATCACCATCAGAACGACTAAATTGGGTACAAAAGCAGAAATTGTGTGTCAACTGTTTTAAAACAAGCCACAAAACAAATGCATGCCCAGGTCGGACATGTTTCAAGTGCGACAAAAAACACAATACACTGCTGCACTTGGACAATAATTACAACCTGTTAGCTACAGCAAAAGTAGCAGTAGAAGCAAACAATGGACAGAGAGCCAATTTCAGAGCCTTGCTGGATTCGGGATCACAGATCAACCTGATCTCTGAGCGAATGGCATCAATGTTGTCAGTGAAACTTAATGATACAACATTACGCATCGAAGGAATTGGAGGTCAGTCAAAAACCAGCAGAGCACGAGTAAATGTTCTAATAAAATCCCTTCACGGCGGATTTACGCAAAGAATTGAAGCATTCGTACTACCTCAGATAATTGCTGATCAACCAGCGCAGGCACTCGATGAAATGAACTTGAACATACCAAACAATTGCCCACTGGCAGATCCGGATTTTTATAAACCGGGAAAACTCGACATGCTCATCGGAGCAGAGCACTATTATTCGCTACTACTCCCAGATCAAAAACAGCCAAATTCAGTAGGCCCGTTGCTGCAAAATACAAAATTGGGATGGATTTTGGCAGGAAAAATCAGGTCTGCACACAACTCCGCATCCATGTGTGCAATTGGACTCAACGAGCTAATGGAAAAATTCTGGACTCTGAACAACTTAGAGACGGAAAAAAAACCACGCACGCCAATCGAAGCACATTGCGAAGCTCACTTTATAGAGAACTTACAAACAGCATCGGATGGCAGGTTGATAGTAAAACTCCCATTTTCCGAACACTCTTCAGCCCTGGGGGGGTCTTTGGAAACTGCAACGAAAAGATTCCTGGCATTAGAGCGACGGATTTCACCAGACTGGTGAAAGGCTGGAAAGGCTATGTGGAATTCATGAATGAATATGAAGGACTTGGACACATGAAGATGGTCCCTGCAACACAAGTGCCGGAAAAACACTACTTCATACCACACCACTGTGTACTCAAACCTGAGAGCACCAGCACAAAGTTACGGGTCGTGTTTGATGCATCATGTAAATCAACAAGCGGAAAGTCTCTAAACGACATTCTGCATGCCGGACCCACTGTTCAGAGTGAACTTATGTCCATTCTACTACGTTTTCGTACACATAAGTACGTATTCACAGCGGACATCGAGAAAATGTACCGACAAGTGTGGATAAATCCCGAGTATCAATTTCATCAGATGATAGTCTGGAGAAACAATCCATCTGAAAATATCAGGTACTATCGCTTAAAAACAACGAAATGTCGGGATCATTTGGCAACTTGGAGCCAAAACAGATTACCTATTGGATCTGCTGCATTGAAGAACGATTTCTATGTGGACGACTGTCTCACTGGCGCGGATACCATTCAGGAAGCGATACAAGTTCAACAAGAACTTAATAAAATATTGCTACCGTTCGGCCTTAAACTTCGCAAATGGTGCTCCAACAACGACCAGCTCTTGCAAGGAATCCCTAAAATGGACATTGTCAACGACGTCAAACTAGGTGAAACATTAGAGCAATACAGCGTGAAAACGCTGGGTCTCATTTGGATGCCAAAACAAGACCAACTGCGAGGACGAACCACAAAAAGCCAAGCAACACGCATCACCAAAAGGGTCGTGTGCTCAGAATTGGCCCAAATCTTTGACCCACTGGGTCTCTTTGCTCCAGTCATAGTCAAGGCAAAAATATTTATGATTGGGACGATGCACTGCCATTACAACTCCAAAACGAATGGATGGAGTACCGGGGGGACCTACAATCATTAAACTCAATGGAGATTCCCCGGCACGTATATGAT